GAGAAGCTATTCTGGGATTCAGGTCCATCCTAGACTGCATGTGTTCCTCCATTCCCCCATGTCCCTGTTGTTCACACAGAGAGAAGACCCATTGGTCTTGTCTCCCTGGGAAGAACTGAATGGCAGTGTCTTTATGTTACCTTGTAGACAAAGCATAACAGCTCCTGAAATCTCTCAGGACAAGAGAGAAGAAAATGGGACTAGAAGTGTGCCTGAGATGTATCCAAATCCACCTCCCACTGATCTGAATGTTGAGCTGTCAGTACTGCATGTCGGGTGCATTTCAAATCACATCTCCTTTGCTCTCTGATGCTTGCATCAAGTTATCTGTGTGTGATTCAATGGGATGGGAAGAGGACAAGTCTCCAGACTGTGACTCATTTGGTCTTTTCCTACTGCTGCTGTAATTCAAGTGGAAGTCTTAGAAGATGGTAAAACCTTCAAGCTTGTTAAAGATGCCATGCTTTGAGTGTATATGAATGAATCCAGGGCTCATTTTGAACCTGAGAGACAGGATAGGCTTGCTGTGATCTTACTGATTCTGCTTTTTGCAAAGTATCCGTCTCTTGGAAGGGTCTGCATAGGTGGTATGTTTCTAAATTCCCAGTATCAAGGGAGATATTGCATAGAGATCAGTAAGAAAGGTGTAGGCCTCCTCCTAAAGGTAACCATGCTAATTAAATAGCACAAGGTGTTGGAGGACTTCAGCACAGTGCTTCTTTCTTCCTTTGTTACTCTGAGACTCTGACACTTGAATTATTTTGTTGGTGTTAAGCTCAGGGCAAACACAGGGGAAAAATGCTGGGCATATAGAGTGCATTTGTTCATAAATGTGCCTCCTTGTTATGGAGGTGCCCCAGGATCTCCTTGAAAATACTGAGGATGACCCTTGCCATGATTTCCCTCTCTATCAAACTGCATTCAATGGCATGCACTGTGCTCTCTGGACACCAATACTGGATCCCTCTGCATTCCCTCTGACATCTGGTTTTATTAGGCAGATGTTGGGTAGAAGGTGGAATGTCCTCTTACTTCTCATGCTACAACTTGTAGCATCCATCACTACAGTGAGTTTTCCTGATCCACTGGAGTTGCTAATAAGATTGGCCATCCCAACTTGATTATCTTCATGGATCCCTTACAACTCAGCATATTCTGTGTCTTTTCTCTGCAATATAGGATGGCTGAAAGGTCCTTTACTGAAGCCTGGGCGTTGGCTGTCCTGCTCAAGATCTTTCTTCAAGCTAAGAGCGGCTTCAAAAATCCTCCATTGCTGTAGGAGAGGAAATCCCACTGGAAACTCAGTGAAGGAAGTCCAAATTGTGATCAGAACATTGTTCCATCACAATATTTTCATTTGAAATAAGCAGAGGTACAACTTGCACAAAACCAAAACAAAATGAAACAAAAAGACAGATTAGATTGGTCATATAGCACCAACAAATCTTTCATCCTCTAAACACTGAACCACCACTGTCGTCATGTGCAGCTTCCAAAGCAACCAAATGAAACACAGCCTTCTCTTTCTTTTGTTATTTCTGTGTGAGAGGCGTCTGATGTCAAGGTGCTGTGCTGTCTCAGATCTGAGTGGGTCTTTAATATGAATGAAGTGGTTAACGTGCAGATGACAAGCAGCAGTGTGGTTCCAACTGAGCCGCGGTGACTTCACGCAGAAGGGACTTTTGTCTTTGCAGTTGGAACGAGTGGCAGCTAAAGATCTGCTTAATGATTTGTGCCATGAGAGAGTCAAAAATAATAAGGTAGGACAGAGCAGAGCCCTCTGAGCAGATCAATCACTTCCTTCATTTTTTCTTCTGGGCTCTATGTTGGGATGCTAATAATGATTCCTTGTGGAGGGAACATGTATGGCCACTTGAAGGGGAATGCTGGTATAAAGAGGTTCAGGACACCCCCACCACTCTCCTCTTTTATTTTATTTACTGTCTTCCCTAGAGAGGGTAACCTGAAGCAGAGAGAGGAAAACTGTTCTTGCAAACAAGAGCTATCAACAAAACCCTGCCTTTTCTCACTGGCTGGAGGGCTTGGAGCAGGGTGAAGAATTGTAGCAATGTTTATTTTAGAGAAGATAAGCTTTGAGCAGAGTGTGTATATATACATATATATATATATGTTGACATTCGTCAGGGAATTTCTTCCTGTTAAAAAAGAAAGTAACTACCCAGTCTATAGCTTTGTTTTAACCTGAAAAATGTTGGTTGCTTGACAATTGCTGGAAGAAAATATTTCTGGATGAAAAACTAAAGAATGACTCAAAAGTTGATTAAGAAGGAGGGGAGAGAGGAGTCAAAGTTTTCTAGCTGCAAAGAGTGATTTATTATCCGGCTATCTTTGCAAATGACAAAATAACTAATTAGGTACAATTCATCATCAGAACTTGAAGCTGCCACTGGAATAAGTTAGAATATCTTTCTGAACATCTCTTGTTCTCAAATTCTGATCTAAATGATGCACAGCGAGTGCTGAGACCCAGTCAAACACTCTGAAACACTGGGACAGGCTTCTGGAATTCTGCCCCCTATAGAGTTTTTTCTAATGAAAAGGGCATTTTAGAATGATGTTTTATGCGGCAGAGATCTTTTCCCTTAAAGCATCAGCTATAATAATTATTTTTATGCAGATCCTGAGGCATAGAGGGATTAAATGACTTTCTCAAGGTCAGGCAGTGAGTCAAAGGCAGAATCAGTGGATGAATGCCAGTCTTGATTCAGGGGCTGTGGCTTACACAGCTGGCCCTCACTTCCTTCATCACCAGAGGTCCCACATCCCTTAACCCAATTGTTTCTGTGTGAGGGGTGCCACCCTGGGAGAAGATTGTAAGCTCCCAGCATATGTAGTTGGGATTAGCATGACTTGCATGAAGCTACTGATGAGTATACTGTCCTTCATGGGTCAACTCTCTGGGGACAATTATGACGAGTAGCTTCTATTTGGCTGTGATGTCACTCAGTATCCTGGGAGAAAGCTGTGAGAAGAGTCAGGTGAAAGCTTTCTATCAGTACTGGGGCCTGTCCTGTTTAATATCTTTGTTGATGTCTTGGATGAGGCAACTGAGTGCACCCTCTGTAAGTCTGCAGACACCAAGCCGGGAAGGAAGTGTAAAATTGCCTGGAGGAAGGAAGGCCATACTGAGCGATCTGAACAGGCTGGATAGCTGGTCTGAGGTCAGTGGGATGAAATTCAGCAAGATCAAGTGCTGAGTCCTGCACACAGGCAACACTACAGGCTTGGGGCAGAGTGGCTGGAAGACTGTATAGAGAAAATGGAGCTGGGGGTATTGATTGACAGTTGGCTGAATAGTGTGCCCAGATGGCCAAGAAAGCCAGAGGCATCCTGGTTTGTAGCAGCGCAGCCAGCAGGAGCAGGGAAGTTACTGTCCCTCTGTACTCAGCCCTGGTGAAGCCACACCTCGAGCTCTGTGTTCAGTTTTGGACCCCTCACTACAGGAAAGACACTGAGGCCTTGGAGCATGTCCAGAGAAGGGCAGTGAAGCTGTGAGGGGTCTGGAGCACAGGGCTAATGGGGAGTGGCTGAGGGAACTGGGATTGTGTCTGGCTTTTTTTGGCCTTCCTGTGTCCCAGAGGACTGAGACACTGAAGCAGTTGCACCCTTGTTAGGTGAAGTCATGTAAGTCAACTGCATTCCTCTTTGGACTTTTGCTCCTGATATCCCTTCATGAATTATTAGCTATGGAAAAGACTTATAGCTAAGAGACTGCAGCTTGTTTAGTCTCCTGGTCATTTCAGGTTTGCTTTCAAATATGTTTTGCTCTGTTTTATGTGGCTTGAATGCTAGGCCTCCTGACATTTCCCCTGGGCCTCTCTCCTGCAGTCTGATAGATCTGGCTGTCAGGAAGTTATTCCTCATACACAGGCTACTTCTTATCCGTCTGTCACTTTTTCAACTCATTGGGCTAATAGTTTTCCCATTACAAGAGCTGTCTCTCTGTATCCTTTTGCTCTGGTCTCCCCAAGGGAACCTCTTTTCCTTGCACTAAAACATGGCCAGGCTATATGACTTTACAGGTCTTTTTCTCCTCTCTTGCTGCAACTTTTTGGAGTCTGAGGAATTTTGGATCTCACACATGATGATCTCTGTCAGAGGGCAGAAAAGAATAGATCTATTAGAATAAGCAATGGAGACACTGATGTTCATATATTCCACAGGTTTAGACACTCACAGAATTTGAATTTGTATATGAGAAGGGGTGTAATAGAGTCTCTTCTGTTCTGGATGCACAGGATTTCTGGAGACTTAGGGAAAAGCTGGGTTATTTGCCATCCCTAGAGGTTTTTGAGGAGAGGGTGGATGTGGCACTGAGGGACATGGTTTAGTGTGCACGGTGGGGATGAGCTGATGGTTGGACTTGATGGTCTTAGTGGTCTTTTCCAACTTTTATGATTCTGTGAAATAATTTCTCAGATTTGCAGCAGGGTTTTCTAAGGATGAGAAGAGACAGGAAATAGTAAAATAATAGCAACAACAACAACAGCAGAAAAGAAAGATTACTTCTGGTGCTCATCTGAGGAAATAGTAAAAGATAGAAGGTCCTTTCCCCCATCCAAGGGAAAAACCCAGTGCTGGGACACCCTGACTGAACTATTCAGGCCATTCTGTCTGCTCAGGGCTCATAAAGGCAGCTGTTCTTCCATCCAGGGTCCAGATGTGCACAGATGTGTGCAGTTCTGCCCCACATGCATCGACATTTGGCATCATCATCACTGTCCTGCATTTCCAGCCTCTCTCCAGAGGACACCTCACCAGCCAAACAGCTGGGCTGGAGAGGAGAGCACAGCGCTTGCTGCTGATTAAGCAATAATGAAACTAATAGCCTCTTAACATTCTTACATTAACAACAACGTCAGTGTGTCAGTATGTATTTACAATATAAGTTACACAAATGTCATTTTGGTACACTGAGCACTTCATATTTGCAATTCTCTGTCACAGCAATAAAATCAATCATCCACTCAGAGCAGATATGCACCCAGGAGAGATCAGTGTTTAATGGCGCTGGGCCAGGCTTCTGAAGATCTGTGTAGGAGGCAGATCAGCAAAGAAGGGCTCACATTCCTGAACTGTGATGCTCTTGGGTCTCTGTACAAGACCTCCTTGGGTCCAGTCAAATGAAGGCTTGGTTGTCCACTCAGCAGCAGAAGGACTTTTGGGGTTGAGAACAAGTCATTCTTCTCTGCAAGACAACCACAGAAAGCACCAAATCAGTGTGCTGTCCAACACATCACACAGTTTGGTTATAAACATCTGAAATATTTTCACATTACATTGAAGAGACTACTTCCTGTGTAGCATCCTAAATCCTGGGCATCCAAAGGCCCTTTTCCCCACCACCTGTCCTCTCTCTGTGCTGGTATTGAGTATGCATTGCCTAGATGTTCTGCTGCTTTGTTTTAAATTTGGTCTTGGATTTGGTCTTGGCATCTCTAATTGGTCATTTGCAAGGAATTATCATCCTTGGTGGTTTTCAAGATAATGGTAGATGTTGCATTCAGTGAAGAAGTCTAGAGCTGTTACAGGCATGGATTGATGGACTGGATGATCTTATTGTTCTTTCCCACCTTAATGATTCTATGAGAATCAATCTCAAACATTATAGACCAGTTTTATAGGCTTGTGAAAGCACCTAATGAATTAAGGAGCTAAAATCTCACTCATTAAAGGCAGCATTACTGCTCTGAAATGTTCTGAGGACCCTGCAGTATGATGCAACTTCCACTGAAGGCAGTGCAAAGAAATCCTGTTAATTTCCATAGGAACTCAAAAGGTCCTGAATGGGCTTTTTGTCTTGTTTTCTTATCTGATGAGAAGATAGTTTGACTTCTGAAAGTTTCGTATGGATTCTTCCTATGTCTGGAGACCCAGCTATGCAACACTGTGAAATTTATTTACTGTTGATGACCCTCTGTTCTCTGCAAGATGCTAAACCTCCCTATGCAGGCCAGGTATCTCAGATTCCATAATTTGCCTAAGCGTGTCAGATCCATTCGTAAGGGTTTCTTTACAGGTAAAGAATACAACAGTGTTAGAAAGCATTTTGTAGTGTTTTCAGATATGACAGCAACCATGGAAAAATCACATTTGTCTATTAAAAAGAGAAAAACACATACAGGAAAAAGAAAGAAACATAGCACTTAAAAGATTAAATAGTGCACTGACTGCCTACAGCATCAAGGGCCCTTTGAAGGTCTGGATGTGATGGAAGTGCACATGCCCATCTGACACACAGCAGGCACTGCAGTCAATAGAATTACATGAGGGACAGATTTGAATCTGGCCCTTTGCTCCCTACTTTTGCTGTCTCATTACAATTTCAAGGTAAAGCATTATAAAGCATATATGGAACAAGGAAACATAGGCCCAGTTTAAGCCAATACAGATGTCTGAGCTCCTGCAAGCCCTTGAATCCTGGCAGAAGAGTGGTTTTGGTGAGAAGTCTTGAAAGGGTTCAAATCAACCAGAAGTGTCAGTCAGGTAGCTTGACAATGCTGGGAAATCAATGCTGAATTCTCAAAGAAGAGCACGCAGGGAAAATGATACCATTTGTTTGCAATTCTAATACAATGAATCAACAGATCACTTGCAAAATGCTCCTAATGAAAATGCGCATAATAGATGTGCAGAAGCAAAAGGGAGAGAGACAAGGTATCTGTGCTAGTGAGGAAAGGAGGATCTGAATTCAGGCTTTGCTGCTGAAATTTGAATGTGCACATTTGTAGCAAGGATGGGTCTGACATCTACAGAGTCCTAGGAGAGGCTGGCAGTGACAATTTTTGCCAGGGGTTTTAATAAAGAAGCAGTTGTTACGAATGGGTCAACAGATATGCAGATATTGGAGCTTGGTATAAAGACAGAATGGATTACACATGATCTGAAAATGGAGGGAGGTTGCCTAATAAATTGCTCCAACATTGTTCCTTTTTTTTATTTTCCTTTTTTCCTTTTTTCTTTTTCTGGTGATAAATTCACCTTTTTGTACAGTTTCTTTGTTTTGCTTAGGCTCAGTTAGGAGGAATCCTTTCTGTAGAAAGTGGACAAGATCAATCGTTCATTGAGTTTTCTGATGCAAGAGCTAGAGAGATTCTCAAGGAACTGGCAGGTGTCAGGCTCAAAACAGACATTTCTTGGGGAATAAATCCATTTCTCCATTCATAAGAACTGCCTGAGTGATAAAACTTAATGCTGTGGGGCATATTCTGGATTCAGAAAAGCAACCAGACAAATGCATAGCAAAGTAATCATAGAATCAGAGAATCACCAAAGTTGGAAAAGACCACCAAGATAATGTAGTCCTATCATTAACCCATCACCACCGTGCCCACTAACCATGTCCCTCAGTGCCACCAGCCACTGGAAGTCCATTAGCTTTAAAATCTGCACATTTGCCTTGGGACATCCTTGAGCCTTAAACTCTTGGAAAGAGCATAGTGGGCACACATTGTTCTATGCTTACTGTATTCCTCTCTTGGCATCTGCTGTTGGTCATTGCTAGAGACAGCTTTTTTTTTGCTGGCTAACTCTTTGACTGAACCCAGTAAAGCCATTCTTACTTCCTTCAAATCCGGTGTTATGTTGTCCTTCCTTGGTGAAGGCTGTATAAGTAGATATCTTGCAACTTCTGCTTGGATGCAATGAAGACTGCCCAAGCATTATGACTCCAAGTTGTCTGTTTGAGTTTAGAGATTTATCAGAGCAGCCTTCAAACAGTGAGAAAGAGGATGATGCATTCCTGCAAAATTTATCATTCTTATGTGCTTTTTTGCTTGTTTTGTTGTTTGTTTGTTTGTTTTTTCCTTTTTTTTTCTTTCTTTTTATAAGCTTAGGATCTGAACCAAAGTTCAAATCTCAGTTTTTCAGCCTCAGGCTGTTGGCTAGAAAGGAGACTTATTGTCACCTATGGATGAAGAAGGCAAAGAAGCAAGTTTTTGTTTATTTCCAGTAATACGGAGGAAAACTTAGATTTTCTTTCAAGTCTGAACAAAGAAATTAGGGCACCGCAGGAAAAGAGGTGATGTAGGATGATCCATGGGGGATGTGAATAAAATTTATGAGCCAGGAAACCCAAACTCGTGGGATTTGCACTCAGTGATCCTTATGGATCCCTTCCATCTTGGGATATTGTATGATCCTGTGAAACCCTAGTATTACCTGTGATTTGGATTCTTTCTGGGAAAAGTGCTGCAGATGAAGAGCAAGCTGGTTCTGAGCACCAAGGTTATTGGTGAGTGATCTGGCTTCTACGTCTTATGGTGTCATAGAGTCATAGAGTCATAGAATGGCCTGGGTTGAAAAGGACCACAGTGATCATCTAGTTTCAACCTCCCTGCTGTGTGCAGGGTTGCCAGCCATCAGACCAGGCTGCCCAGAGCCACATCCAGCCTGGCCTTGAATGCCTCCAGGGATGGGGCATCCACAACCTCCTTGGGCAAGCTGTTCCAACCTGTCCAGTATCCCATCCATCTAGGCCATGACTGGAGTTGCTCATTAATAACTTCAGCATAATATGCATGCTTAGGGAAGGATTCAAGGAAGTTACTACCTGTGATTAGTTGTTTAGATCTACAGTGATAGATTGGAAATAAGCATGCATAGGGACGGGAGTCCTGCTGTGTGGTCTGTTAATTCCATGACTGATGTATAAAAATGTACCAGAATGCAAGTCTAAAATGCTGAAATGATGTACCACACTACATCTATTACTTTTTGACTCAAAGTTTAAAGGATATCCATTGCTTTCTTCCTGAAAGGACTGGTGGGTAGTCGAAAAACAAATGCCTAGTGGAATTGGCCCAGAGCATCTGTAATCTTTTCTTTCCTCCAATATGTGTATTCTATCACTAAATATGTATTTCAGAATGATGGAAAACCTTCATGGATAACTTCTGATTCAGTATCAGTGGAGCTCTCTTCTCCCCATACAGTAAGTTTCAAAGTAGGTTTCATGGATGCTGAACTTCTTCCAAGACTTTTCATACCTGGCTCAGAAAAAGAGAAAGAAGAACAGTTTCAGTTGCATTAACTAGCATTTTTAAAGTCTCCCTCCAGCTTTTCCAGGCAAAGGCAAACATGTAAAGGAGAATGTGGTGGTTAGAGAGCATGTGGGCATTGGGAATTGCAGCAATTGAACTTACACTCTGCTCCACCTGCCACTGGAAATTTCCATCCAAAGAAGGCAGAAAAATGGGTGCTCTGACCCTTCTTTTCTCTTTGGAAATGTGTCCAGATGAGCAGGACCAATGTGTGTCAGGGCAGCTTTCTGCTAATTATATAATTTAATTTCATTTCATTTTTCCCCCCCAAATAGTTGTTCTTTCTCCCCTTTCTTTTCATCTTTATTCATATCTTTCCCCTTCTGTCTCATTTTCCCATGGCACTCAGGTTCTTATATTTTCTCTTTTCCCCTTTGTCCCCTAAGCACATGAAGAAAAATGTGCATTTCTAGCCTAGATATATTGGTTCCAGGGGACAATGGGGACAGACCCTATGATGAAGAATACACACAGAAAAAAACTCAGGAAGAAAAATTCAGGAAAACAAACTCTTGTATATCAGGGGAATCCCAATCTCCCCTTTAGCTAGACACTTGAACTGTGTAAGCTGTCCTGGGGAATTGCCTTTGCTTCCACTTGCTGGAACCAAAAAGCTTGTGGAATAAGCTCTGATTTCAGGCAAAAGTATATTGCTTAAAATGCAGCATATTTCATCTATTTTGGAAGCTGTAAAATTCAAGGTTCTTGGTGATCCTCATCATTCATTTCTCCAGTTTCCAACAGCGTGTGGTATAAGGAAAAGTTTTGAAATAATTTTAAGCTTCGGTCCTCAGGTTGGAAAGCAGTCTCAGAACATCGGTTTTCATGGTGAAATTTTAATGTGGTCCACAGGGAGGATTTTTTTCAAAGGAAAAAAAAAGAAAGAAGCTTTTTATATACTTCATAATGGTTTGGGGTGAATATGACGCTGTGGGATTTGTCCAGGCTGTTGTTTTAGTGCAGTGGGGTTGAACTGCTTCCTTACACAAATTGCAGCCCTAGCTCAGCTCTTGACAGAGTCTCTTCTGAGACCCCATATCTTAATTCTGGTTTGCGTTCCTTTCAATGTTAGTTTTTTGACTTTTTTTTCTTTTCTTAGGAGTCTCTTGTGGTCTCTCAACATCCCTAAAGGCAGGGAAATAGCTGCTGTCTCTTGGAAAGATGGAAATGCCCCCATCCATGTTGCTGTTCAAAGTCATGCTGGACCAGGCTCTGAGCACCTGATCTAGCTCTAGATGTCCCTTTTCATTGCAGGGGAATTGGACTAGATGTCTTTTAAGGGTCCCTTCCAACTGAAATGATTCTGTGGTTCTATGAAAGGGGGAAGGCAGGAGTTTGCAGTCTCCATCAGCCATATTTGGAGAGCAACACCAGAATAGGTGGACTGAAGCTGGATTAATTGCTGACTCCTTCAAGATGAAGGAAAAAAAAAACAAAAGCCCTTGAGTATTTAGTGGTTTTATATGAAGGATAAGTGCTACAATAGGCTATCTGACAGCAAGGCCTTGGCATTCTTACTGCCTTTTGTCCTCCTCCTCATTTAAATTTCCATTTTTATGTAAAGCTATTTTCTCTCTTCCCAGTAGATGAAAATCCTAGAGTTATCTCTGAGGTTATCACTACTTGACTATTTAAGATCCATAACACAGTTAACTACTTACAAGCAGCAGGGAGTATGTGAGGGAAGTTCAGACCTAGGGAGGGAGTTACAAAGCCTCCAAGAGCCATGGGATAAAGCTCTGCCATCTGGAGCCTCACACAGAAGTAACATAAACAAGAGTCCCTTTGATATCTCTCTTTTTTGGTCCTTCATAAGAATCGAGAACATATCAGTCATAGGAGATGAGGATGGCATAAGTTGTAGTTAATACTTAAGATATAAGGAGGCGACACAGGGAGGGAAAAAGCTTAGATTCATTCTTTCCTATCGTTTCTAGGTGGAAATTCATTATAGATCTCCTTGCTTGTATCTAGACTTGAAGGGGTAAAGGTTGGCCTACCAAAAAGGCACTATGAGCCATCAGCTCCTTCCTGTCTAGGTTACATGAACAGATGATTAATCTCCTTCAAACAGCCTCTTTTATTCATAGGGATTGAAGCTCCCTTTTGAAACATCAAGTCCAATGATGGAATTATGGGTGGTGTGCATAGGAGAAATTGTCCTTTCTGTCGCCAATGAATGGCTCAGGAGGGAAGAGAAACAGCTCCCAAGAGCAGTTCAACTTTTGTGGAGGTTTGATAAAACCATCCCTGCTTCTCTTGTTGTTTTTCATTTTCTTTCAATGCTATTTAGCTGCATCTATAAGAGGAAAGGATTTCCACAGGCTGCTGCTAGCTCGAGTTCTGCTGGGGATGGCTTTGTGCTCTGTGTGCCATTTCCTTCTCTCCTGTAACACACCACGTGAGTTCTTGCCTTCAAGCTGTCACTTTTCTTCTTTAACTTTTTTTTTTTTCTTTTTTTTTTTTTTTTTCCAGAAGAGGTTCTCTCTTCTCCAGAGATAAACATGATGACTTTTTCATGAGCATGGAAAAGCCAATAACTCAGAAGCACTTCCAAGGCACAGCATTTATTTGAAAGTCCTTTTCACAAACAAGAGATGGTTAATAACTGTCCATGTGGGAGATACTTGATTGATTCTATGCAGTAGCACTGCATGAAGGGAGTTGTAAGGGTCTTTTTATTATCTTTTTTTTTAAGGCAGAAGTATGTAAGAGAGAAGGAGGTGGGGGAAGGTAGAATTACTTACCACGTTCTTCCAGAAATATTATCACATTAAATTAGACTTCCACAGGTGTAAGCATTTTCTGATTCAGTTGATCATTTTTCCTCTTTAAGTGAAATTATTATCCTCTGCCATAGTATAAATTATATGTAAAACTCTTAGGCAGTTTCGGGTTGGTTAGTCCAGAGACAACACTTCAAATAGGAAACCAATTTGAGTTTCTTGCTGTCAACTTCCTTTCTTTCCAGAGTTGGTGGTTGTGTATCTTAATGCAGTTTCCTTAGAAGTCAAGCTTACATTGTTTGTTGGCCCATGTGAAGATGATATGCCAATATGCAAAAAGCCCAACATACTGAGATCCCATTGTTTGATAGCTGAGGATTTATTCTTTTTGGGTATAGAAAAGAATACCAGTAAATAGCAACATGCTAGTTGTTCATGTGCTGCAATATGTATTTTCAGAAATCCTTCTCCTTTTTACTCTTTTCAGCTATTTTTCATTTGCATGGGACTGGGAAAAACCCTGGATAGAGGGTTTACTCTGGACCTGACTATGCTCCCACCTTGCACATGAAGACAGCTGCTTACTCCTGGCAGATGAGGCAATGTGAGCATCACGAGAGGCCTCAGATATGCATGTGGATAGCACAGAAATAATGGGACCAGGAGCTGCTCTTGGCCATCACAAGGCTAGAAAAGCAGACATGGTGGGACAGAATAAGAGGTAGCAGAGTGGCACTTGTCAATCCCTTCCTAATATAGACTTGAGGTTGAGAAGGGACTAATTTTTTATATGAATAAATTATGCAGTAGTAGTGCACAGTAGCTGGAACAGAAAATCTTAGGTGTAGACAGGTCTATAAGTAGTGCCCATTTTCACCAGGTAGTTTTCTTGAAGGAGCAAGATTGGTCCTAAAATCAATTTGTCACTTCTTCAGGGATCCAGGACTCCTTGAGTTAGGTCAGGCTAGGAGGATTTTGTGTCTTATTTTTGTTTCATAATGCTGGCAATACTTGTGTCTTTGAAAACTCCATCAGTTCTACAGTATCAAAGTGACATGAGTGCAGAGGTTTGGATACTTTCAGCCCCTGGACACAAACCTGAATGAAGCCGTCAAATCAAATAATTTGGTGTGATGGGGAGGTTCCAGTTTGCAGGGAACTGCATCCTTTAAGACATAATTTATGGGTTTTTTTTTTGGTATTTTTCATCTTTTTAGCTGTAGTCTCTCACCCTTTGAACAGAAATGTCTTACTGGGGATGGAAAGGTACCTGAATTCAAAGACAAGTGAATAGCCTTGCCTGGTTAGAGATAACATTTTACCCAGCCCTATTATGTCACTGAATGAACTGGGTAATTCATCTGCATGGCTATAGGACACAAATAATGTTTCCTGTACTCTAGCTGACCACCTGAGCCTCCATTTCTCACCAGCCAACAAAAGCCAACCAGGAGCTGCAGTCTCCACCTTGGAGGCTTCTGGTAAAGAGCTGAGGGATGTTACATCTTCCTGATCTGTTATCCAGGTGACAACACACTGGAAAAGCT